GAATTGAGAATAGATAAGACCAGCAATTAACCGAACAATTTGCAAGGATGAATTTGAGCTTTGATAATATGGAGTAGAGATTTGGGAATTTGGAAGGAAGAATTGATCGGGGATTTCAGAGAGTGGAGCATATACAAATGCAAGACATCATCTATAACTCATCCATAATATGTACTCTCTCAAATACGCAATGCCAGATGGTTGAAATATGGGGCTTCATAGGAATGCCAAATTATCCGCCTATTTACTGGGCAGATCCAGCCACCACTCCAATCCCGAGATTCTATATCCCTGATGACATTCAGACATCGGGCCAGCAACAACCTCATAACCCACCACCACAACCATTGACACCTATTCCATCGGATCCAATATCAAATCATAGCAGTAATTTTTCAGTAATTTATCGTATTTGAGCAATATTGATGTTGTTGATTACTTGATTTTGCTGAAATCTATCAATCCTCCACAAGTGCACTAACAATACGAAAGGGAAATCCTCCAAAAAAGAGAGCAAAGTCCATTGTAGAGGGAACGGAAAAGGAAAGGCTGTGATGGTGGATGAAGATACTAGTTCTGAATCCGATTCTGATGAAAATTGGGTCCCAAGTGATAAATTAAAAGGAGAAGGAGAAGGTGCCGAAGGAAAAAAAATAAAAAAATAAAAAAATAAAATATGTTTCTCCCTCACGAGTCGTCTTCATCCGGGAGGATAAAGCGTTTTAAGTGTGGGGGAATTAGTAGTCTATTAAGTTATTTCTATTTCTGCTTATGAAGTTCCTTTTGTTATGCAGCTTGGTGTTTTTGGAATATATAGGTAGTATAAGATGCTTGGTTACCTTGGTATTGGAAGAATGTAAATAGGAGGAACTTAGGTAAATGCAGATTGGCTCAAAATTGTGCAAGTTTTTGTTGAGCCAACTGTTGAACATTGAAAATGGAAAAAATCTGCATTTTAATATAGCTATCTTTTGTTTATTTTCATTGTATTTTCACTATCCTTATATTTTACAGCCCTGACTACTTCTGATCTTTCTAGGGGCATATTTGGTAGGACTTCTTTGATCACAGCAACAATAATGTCACCAATATGAGCATATCGACGATTGCTAGCTCCTATGATTCGAATACACATCAATTCTCGAGCTCCGCTGTTATCCGCTACATTTAACATTAAACTAACAAGTGCATAAAGCACTAACTATTTATTGTCTTTGTTGTTGAAGGGGATTGATAAGAAAAGAGGAAAAAATAGAATGGAGCAAAATAAAGCCAAATACATCTGAACGTTTGGTAGAGAAATGTGTTTTAATATATATGATTTTATATATGTATGTTAGTATTTCTTTTTATATATGTTAGTGGTTCGATTCAACAATGTGTTTCGTTTTATGTATTCTAGCATTTTATTTATATATATATTACTTGCTTTAAATTCATAACATAACTTTCTTTACGTATCTCCATGGATTTCTTGTTCGGTTCTTTGCCATGGTTGTAATATTTTGAATCGAACACTTCTTAGATTTTTTAATCAGTAAATAAGTTGGCTAAACACTTGATTTTCTCTATAAAAAGATTGAGACTTAGGAAAGACGAATTTAATTGAGCACCATTCATGGGTTGTATAACTACCTTTCTTAAACTCATACTTGTTTATTGTTTATTAATATCATAGTGTTTGTTGATCCCAAGTGCATTGTGTGATCAGTTTATATTGTCAAGTTCTCATGCTTATTTTAAAATCTAAAACTTGCCTTGAGTGTGGTTTGAAGCAAAATCATAGGAAGATTTTTGAGTTGGGAAATGAAAGTAGGTCGTCCTTGTTAAACCATGGCCAAAATTTACCTTCCTTGATTAGTTATATCCTTAGTTAACCCCGTTGAGCCTAAATAAATTATCTTTGTTTTATCGTTAGCCAAACTATAACCCTTAGCCTATTTGTTATGATATTTTTCAATTCATTCCCTTTCTGGCACTTAAAAGGTTGAATTAGATGAAAAACGTAAGTGGGAAGAGTAATTGTGGAGGAAAGAGGCGATAAGGGTGATTGTTGAGCTTACTGATTTAAGCTAAAATATTTTCATATGAAACAAAAGAAATGTGTTGCTCTTGAAATTCGGTTTCAAGGGAAAAAAATATGTGTGAAAGGGAAATAAAAGGAGAAACATTGAAAGAAAAAAGAAAGGAGGGAGGTTGATTATTTTAAACGGAAGGTTGTTGTGCTTAAGTGCTAATATAAATATAGTGCCTATAAGGAACATTAGTCACTCTTATCCATATACATCTTACCCGTCCCTAAGCCTACATTATAACCTTGCAAAGTCCTACATGATCTCGACTCAAAGTCTTCTATATTAGTGGAGAATCACATTATAGTCAAGCTTATGGCAATTTATGGTAACATGAGGTACTTCTTTGCTGAGAGTGAAGAGTTTTATTTCTACGCCCTTCTTTGTCCTATAATGATATATACTGTGGGCATCTTCTTCATTAGCGAGAGACGCTAGGGATTAGAAAATATTGTGATTTCAATTTGCAATAGGTGAACATGAGTGTGGTTAAAGGTTGTTCAAATTTGTGGATTGGTCTTAGTTGACTTTTGTCTACCCAAAGTTTTTATTATCTTCCTTAAAAGTGTTTTAACTATGTTATTTCTCTTTGTGTATTCGAGGACGAACAAATATTTAAGTACGGGGGAATTTGATGCATAAAAATTATTAATATATTTTTCATAGCTAATAATATCTTTTTTTTCATAAAATAAATAAATATTATGCTCAAAACTCATATTTTCTAACAAGTATTGCAGGAAGAAAAATTACCATAGACGAAGATAAAGTATGAAAATCTAGAGAAAAAAATAATGGAATGAAGAAAAAGGGAAGAAAAGGCTCGATGCATCTGTGGGACACGACAAAGAATCAAAAAAGAGAAGAAATGAAGCCATGGATTCATCTAGGCCTTAACTCAGGATTCATCTAGGCCTTAACTCAAGATCCATCTACACTTACAATCCTATAAATATGCTAGCATGGCTTAAGAGAAAACATCAAGTATTAAGGAGTAGACATTGTTATCTTGGTCTCTCACTCTCTTTCACTTAAGTTTTCTTCTAGCTTTTTATTTTGCAAGTAAAAATAATACTATTTCAAGAGTTCTTCTTTCTTGTCTTTGTTAAAATTAAATACTTCTTTACGAAGTAATTTCTTTTTGTTGGGATAATTGATGAAGCTTGATATATTATTATAATTTCAACTTCAGTTTCATACGTTCAGGGTGGGCCAAAGAACTCTTCAGTTTCANAACATTTACTTACCATAGTCTCACACTTACAGACCGGTGCATCAGTAGATCGATGCAAAACATGACTAAATCATCTCAAGCGACCTTCTCTTATTTTAAACTCAATGCATGTTACTTGCATCTTCTGGCGGATGTGATTGTTTATAATCCTATCTAAGATAACTGTGGTGTCTGGGCGAGCTTGCGGGCACCTCGACTAATTCCAGGGATATTTACCACCTCCCACCAGCAATAGGTATCAGGTAACCCTATCCACCAAACCTTGTACAGATAGAAAGAAATCACCTATCTAATATTGTATAATCGCATATCTATCTTAGCATTCGCAGCTAGCAACACTCATGTTGTGGATATGTTGGACTTTAGCGGCCCGACATTCACTACCATATAACATGTTGGTCTTATAGTTGTTCTACTGAACTTACCTTTCACTTTGGTAGTCACCCTTCTATCACATAACACCCTGGTGCTGGTAGCACCATTTCAATCAACTCATTTTAATTCTATGAGTAACATCTTCATTTATCATTTTATTCTCTTGAAAAAATGATCCTTGATATCTAAATTATTAGCATTTGGCACCGCAAACCTCGTCTAGTCTCACCTCAACTTCGGCCTTCTCATGTTGACTTAATTGTGCATGTACTCAGTCTTACTTCTACTTATCCTAAAACCCTTACCCTCTAGGTGCTTCTCCATAGTTCAAATTTTTGGTTGACACCATTGCTGGTTTTGTCAACTAATGCAACATCATCAGCAAATATCAATACACCATGGGGCCTCATCTTGTATTGTTTTAGTTAGCTTATCCATAACTAGGATAAACAAGTCAGGGCTCAATACCGATCCCTAGTGTAGACTCACTGTTATATAAAACTTCTTTGTATCTTCTCACGCTAGTAACTACTCCTTCATACATGTCGTTTATGGCATTTATATATTTAATATGAATTTTTGTCTTCTCCATCAGCACTAAAGGACCTTTTGTGGTACTGTATCATATGTTTTCTCTAGGTCAATGAACTGGGTACAAATGAAAAAATAAATAGAATAAAACTTTCCTCTTTTAGGAATAATAACAAGGAACGACAGGTGTATCTTGAATCTTTATACGTAATTGATAACTAGAGCTAGTGCTACTCCCAAATGAAGGAAGTGGGTTAAGAGAGATAACAACCCAGCTAATATCTAGGTAGGTAATCATCTTAGTACCTTGAAGATCATAAGATGGAACTAAGTTGAATATGTATTCACAACACACTTGCAGGCCCTTTCCCTGTGCCCTTGCCCTTAATTAAGCTTAATTAATTTATCCTTTTTGGAGGAAACGATTTCATCATTCTTATATAAGATTGGCATACCAGAAGGAAAGGCGTGTTTTGCAGATTTATTCTGCTTTGGGGTACTTTGTAGTGCTTTCGATTCCTTCTTGTATTACTATGGTTTTGAAAACCCAAAAAAATTTAAAAAAAAATAAAGAACTATGCAAGCCATGTAGCTCAAGGTCTTTGCTGCACGCAGCGGGTATTACAAATCATAAATAGTAACCACTCTCCACGAACCAGGCATATCTTGATACAATAATACTTCTAAAACCAACAGAAAAATAGTTAGGGGTATAATTTTGTAGCAGAAACAAACAGATATTATAGAGCAAGCTGAAAGTATCAATCTATTAGGTATTTCTTAATTACCTTTTGAGCCTGGCATAAGCTTGGGCTCTGCGTTGCTGCACTGCTAGAAATCTTCGAAGCAATTCGACGATTTTGAAAGAATCGATCTCTGGACAATTGCCTGCTCCCTCCTCCATGCTCATCCTCTCCGAAATAACTACCTTCTTCTCAAATTCTTCCACCGTGCTCGAGTTCATTGCACACTGATCTGCTAAACAAGGTTGAAGCAAATATAGGCCCAACTATTCAGATGGGCTGTTAATTTTTGGACGAATTAACTTAAATAGCCGCGTACCCAAGTGTTTAAACTTAAAATAATTGGTGGGTATATATATGTATAATATATGTAAAATCATATAATTACTGTATAATTTTTGTATACTAGCTAGAAAAAATAAATAATAAATTTGACTGGCTATTTATGTAAAGATTCCTAATTTTTATCCCATTAAATTAGGGGGAAGTGCACTGTTAGCCACTAATTAGAGATGTCTTTACTCTTTAGCCACCGTTTAAAATGTGTTTACTTTTTAACCAGTATTTAATAATTTTTACCCGCCCGGACGAAAATATCCCTGTACTAATATTAAGGACATAGTGTCCTTAACTTCATGAATCCAGTGTAAATATTAAGGACAAAGTGTCAAGTATTTGTACTTTCCGTTTTTAAACTTTAGGACATGGCGTCCTTAACTTCATGTGTACAGCGTAAATGTTAAGGACATAATGTCCTTAACTTGTATTTGCACCTTCTATTATTAAACTTTAAGACCTCATGTCCTTAACTTTATATGTGTAATGTAAATGTTAGGGACATGGTGTCTTTAACTTCATGTGTGCAGTGTAAATGTTAAGGATATAGTGTCCTTAACTTTATGAGTGTTGTGTAAATATTAAGGACATGATGTCCTTAACTTAATGAATGTTGTGTAAATATTAAGGACAAAGTGTCATGTATTTGCATCTTCCGTTGTTAAACTTTAGGACATCATGTCCTTAACTTCATATGTTCAGTGTAAATGCTAGAGACATGGTGTCCTTAACTTCATGCGTGCAGTGTAAATGTTAAGGACACCATGTCCTTAATATTTACACAACACTCATGAAGAAAGGGTAAAAATGTCTTTTCGTATTAATTTTAACAGAGTAGTGGCTATTTTTGCTCAGTATTAAAAATATTGGGTGAAAACTAAATACCATATTAAAAAGTGGCTATCCCACGCCATTTCTACATTAAATTATCCTCAAAGATTTTGAAAATTGATGGTGTTTATTTTGACCTCCGCTTGCTCTGGGTAAACCTTTAAAGTCAAGTGTTGTCCATGGGCATATAGGGTTTAAAAAAAAATCAATAGTAACACTGAAGTGTCATATTTGTGCAAATCAGCCTCTTTGCTGCATCTCTCTTACTATGGGCCTGCGAAATGTTATCTGGCCCAAACACTTTAGCTCTGGCCCAAGATCACTCTACCCCCAAATGCTCCACTTGGGATTTTGATTGAAAGTATTCATATAGGAGTCTAGTCTAGAGAATAACGTGAGTTAGATATGATATCTTATAGCACCTGATCAATATTAGGTTATAATTGCAATTGCAGTATTGTGAATTCGAACCACAATGGTTAGGGTGATTTGCACAAACAGGATCATTTGGCATCACCATTTAAATTTTAATCCCCCTAAAAAAAGTATTTGGATAATAACCCCGGGCCAAATTTTGTGAAGCAAGCTCTTTCGGTCATCAGGATTTTCCTTAACAGCAATTATAATGATCGCCAAAATTTCTAGCCAAATTTATATGGTAGTCCAAAAAGGGTCCATCCAACATAAAAACTTGCAATGGTTATGGGGGCAAGTGCACATATAGCCATTCCTGAGAATGTTATTTAGAGATTAGCCAGTATTTATTTTGTCCTAAAATTTTAAACTAAAAATCTTAATTTCAGTATATTTTTTTCTAAAAAATTAAACTGAAAATTATGACACACTAGTTAATTCCTAAATAACATCCCTTTAGAGTGGTTAACTGATGTCATTTCTACATGGTTATAAACCGTGGGCTTTAGACTTAGCTTTGGCCTAGCTTAATTGCTCACATGGAATTTTGGAAAAAAAATTAAAAAAACAAGATCATCCATTTTCAAATTTGCAAGGCTACTAACTGATTTACATTGCTGACACAATTAAACAGTTCAATCCAACCATGCATCTGATTCAGATTGTTAAAAAAAAAAAAAAAAACAAATCTCCCAAGTTATGAGAATCTATAGTGTTTCCATACTTTCCATCTAGCGTGACTCAAACCCATGACCTTTACCAACCGAGCAAGCCTCACTTGTCAAGTTTTCGTTTCAATCATTGAAACTTCATGTAATTTTTCTTGTTAAGCTTACGTGTAAACAATTAATGGTCCCAAAGAAACGGAAAGTTAACTTTGTTTGAGTATATAATTTGGGTGTAAATTAAAAGAACTTAATGGAATAGAGAGTCTATTATTCTTTCTTTCTTGCTCTTTTTTTTTTATCAAATAAATATAAAGGAAGTGCACAAATATGCTACCTCAGGAGAGTTGTTTATGCTCTTAATTATAGCCGCCACACTACCAAACAACAAAGAAAAAAGTTGTATATATGAACCATTTCAATATGCAAAGATGCTGATATCCTTATTGTGTGTCTGTGTCATCCCAAAAAGTAGTAATAGAAAGGTTTCTTCCTAGAAGTTTCCAAGAAGCAACTATATAAAATTTGCTCATTTGAGGATTACTTATACTAATTCCAAATATGTAGTCTGCTAATCAGATAAACTTGTTGCTATTTTTCTACTTCCAAAAGAACATGTAATATAATAAAAAAGACACGTTCATAATTAATTAAACTTTTGTTTTTTTATTATATTACATGTTCTTTGTTTTTTGTTTGCATGCATATGATCTGAGGATTCAAGGAAAAATATCTTAACTTCTTCAAGGTGGAATCTTGATGTGGCTAGCATATAGACTAATTGTTTAATTTATGGCTCTTATTATCCACTTCGGCTATTCTATAATTTATTAATAATATAATTTTTATTCAATTTTTTTGCTTATATTAACCATTTAATTACAATCTTAAAGAAACAAAATTGGATGAAGAAAGAGTAAATTGAAGTCTTAGGTACATGGTAGCAAGTCATATACATATATAAACGTTTTATTGTAGCTATGGAAATTTAATTTTATGGGTTCCATTGTAATTTTAAAAACCCCATGGGCTCTTAAGTCAAACTGCTATTCTTTTCTAAATTTTTCAATTTGTGCTTGTAATTAATTCTTGCGCAAAGACTATGCCAATCTTCTTTATATCGTTCCGATTGTACGAGATGTATCCAGTTATGAATGTTAAAATGCACTAGGGATGAATATAATGTATAATTATTTAATGCCTCTGTGGTTTATAGAGTCAAAATTTATTCAAAAAGAGAAAGCTAGCAATGAAGATAAAACAGCTAATCAATATCTACTTCGATAGGCAACCGCAATTAGTCAACATTTTGATAATCTTCATACATTTTTATTCTCTTTAATTTAATAATACATCGAATGAAGTAAATTTCCTAGCTAATCAGTAGTTTTCTTTTGGCCCTCAAGAGAACATGCTTTCGGCTAAACATCAGCCAGCTTTATTCAACTATTGACTTTAAACTTTAGCCTCTCATATCAAAATTATACTTGTAAAAGCTTTACCAAAGATTTCTCTTTAATTCTTTCTTTCACAATTTTATGTAAACTTCATCCACCATAATGAGCGGATGTGGTACAAGTGGTGTAGGTGATACAGTCGCACCCACCGTCTTCGACTTAAATTTATATATATATATATATA